AGTCTGTCTCAGTTGTCGTCCAGTGTGCGAGTGGATTGTCTGCATCGTGTTGTTCCACATTACCGCCCTCATCATACACAGCATCAAGTTAGCCATGTTACTCCTTACCGCCTCCACTGGTGTCTGATCCGCCTGCTCGTCCGTAGGCACAAAGGCCATGCCTTGGAGTAATGCTCTCCACTGACTCTCATTCTGAATCAAGGACTCTGCGCTGGCGGCGTTCCGCTTGTCTCGAGCCGTTGCATCAGCCTCAGCAGTCCGCTGAGCTTGGGCTGCCGCCTCATTGGCAAGCCTCTGACGTTCTGCTTCTGCTGCCTCTTGCTGTGCCTTTGCTGTGGCGACGGCATCTGTGAATGCATGCTCCCGCTGAAGGTAAGCTGCCAAAGTCTCGTGGTCCCCTTGGACCGGACAGGCTGGGAGGATCCCTGCGGTGACCGGTACTGCAGCTGCTGCATTGGTACTGGAAGCCGCTGGAGTCGTTCTCCTGCTGAGTCGTTGCTGCTGATACTTGGGCCGTGGAGGTAGCACAAAGTGGCTACGAACTGCGATCCTGGCACTGCGTCGTGGCAGTGCCCTGGTGTCCTGTTCCGTCGACATCAGCACGGGCTGATGTGGTACTTGGAGATCTTGGTGGTCACAGACACGGGGAGGGTAGGGAAGGTGGGAACAGGGGTAGAACAGAACAAACAATCAACATACAGTCCCCTGTCCCAATGTGGACTGGACTCCGAATCAAAAAAAAAAGATGATATTTTCCCCCCGAACAACTTAATTTCAAAAATAATAAATAAATAAAGAATAAAGAATAAGACTAAACAAGATTAGCCAGCGCAGCTCCGCCCGCGGCCAAAAGGGTCAGGTGAAGTAATTTCATTCAGTGGATATGAGAGGTNAATAAAGAATAAGACTAAACAAGATTAGCCAGCGCAGCTCCGCCCGCGGCCAAAAGGGTCAGGTGAAGTAATTTCATTCAGTGGATATGAGAGGTGAGAGCAGCTGACAATAGAGAGTAGGTGACCCTAGAGATTGCAGTACAGCGAGAGAAGAGTMGACCCAGCAGAGARTACAGTGGAATACAGAGCAGAGTACAATACAGAGAAATAGGGAGTAGAGTAGCGGGCGTCGAGCAGAGGCTCCAGAGTAGAGTAGAGTTCGATGTAGAATATAGANTACAGAGCAGAGTACAATACAGAGAAATAGGGAGTAGAGTAGCGGGCGTCGAGCAGAGGCTCCAGAGTAGAGTAGAGTTCGATGTAGAATATAGAATATTGCAGGTTACACCTCACACAGAACTGTCGAGTTGAATAGGAACTCCAGAGCAGCATCGCCGACAGAACAGGGTCGTGACCCACCGTGGGTGGAGTAGACAGTAGCATAAGGTGAGACGTGGCCACAGCAAGAAAACCAAGACGGATGACGAGCTACAAAGACAAAGACGGGGACTGGCGATCCAGGGGCTGTATTTTTTCATTTGTTTCCGGGGGGCACAGGCCTGACCACAGTACTCACCAAATTCACATAAGAAGAAAGATATGGCAGTGCATCGTCGGACCTTGTGGCTGAATTTTCCCATTTTTCGTGAGTTGTGCAGAAAAGGTGATACCTGCGGTCGTAAATCCGGACAGAAGCATCCAGACGGGGCCTAAAGAAACAGGGCAGACGTGTCGACGGAAGTCGACAGGGGACCTTTGAAGTTAGCTGCAGATGGAATCAGAGTCACATCGATGCAGTGTAGTCTGTAATAGAAGGCAGATAAGGCCAGGAAACTGCTTCAGCTGAGTATGCCGTGATGCCTCGGCTCATGCCCCAATGTGCGGGCGTTTTGTTTTTGTTGTTTTTCCCCGCCCAATATTATGAAGGGAAGCAGCGGTGAACCATCATCATTCAAAATTGACCCTGTCGGAATTGCAGCCAGATTTTGACCCGTTAGAGTCATCGGCAGATGAGTTGTTACACCAGGAAACCAATTTTCTATTTTTTACTGTCAGAGTGATTGGTCTGCCGTCGGGTCAACGGGTTACGGTATAGCAACATGAATATATTTCACGACAGGAATATGTTTCGAATATTAGAGAAGAGCGGGGGGAAAGAGGTGCATGGAATGGAGTGGCGAGGGAAAAGAAATGGGAATAGAATGAATCGTAAGAGTAAAACAGTCCAGGAACACAAAGGACCTTTGTCATAGATACGGGAACTTTTTTTTTTTTTGCAAGGGGGAAAGTAACATGCGAATTTGTGGAAGGTGAAAGCCTTCCGAGCACGAGGCGTAACATGGCGGGCATGACGGTTTGTAACAATTGGAGGGCGAGAACGAGGTGTAACAATGTGATCGAAAAATGAAGTTAACAAACACATAGGAGGAATGCAGTACTCAGAAAAGTGTTTGTATCGAATTGGATCGGCGAAGGGAGGTATTCACAATGTGTTCGCTCTCTTTCCCTTTACTCTGACTCTCTGCGGGTATGTTTGTATATGTATATATAAATCGTTTATATTTATACAAGCCATTTGTTGTATGTATATATAAATCGTTTATATTTATAGAAGCCATTTGTTGTATAGTGGAGGCAGACACAGTGAGGTCTATTGTAACGCGCACAAGGCTGAGGGAGAGCCGAGGGAGAGGAGAGAGAGAGGGAGAGAAGGAGAGAGTGAGAGCACACACACACACTCACTCACTCGACACGACTGAGGGTCGGATGCAGACACAGTGGCAAGGGCACAAAGCATACCTGCGGCGCAATTGTGCGTTACGCCATGCGGTGCGCTGGTCACCAGTGCGCAAAAAAAAAAAAAAACATCGAGGAGAGGCTGTTATGTGTGAGAACATGCGAGAGAGAGACACAGAGAGAGAGAGAGAGAGAGAAGTTCAGCAAACAAATAGCTTCTTAACATTTATTAGAAAACCCCTGGGGGTTATCCAAGAGGCCCCTGCATAGAATTCGCAGGGGCCTCCTCACCATGAACGAGTCAATGGTCATAGTCATGTTAGAGGCGTGGCACGCCAAGTATATATGCTGTTGATTCACATTAAGGTCCGTGTTTCAGCAGTTATGGGACCACTGAGCACGCGAGTTTTTGGGCAGTAGCAGGCCAACTCAGCACGTGCTTTTCCAAGAGGCCCCTGCATAGAATTCGCAGGGGCCTCCTCACCATGAACGAGTCAATGGTCATAGTCATGTTAGAGGCGTGGCACGCCAAGTGTATATGCTGTTGATTCACATTAAGGTCCGTGTTTCAGCAGTTATGGGACCACTGAGCATGCGAGTTTTTGGGCAGTAGCAGGCCAACTCAGCACGTGCTTTTCAGGGCTTCCCTCCACTACTCACCAAATGTGCAAAACTAGAATGAATCTTCTGCTCGAACATGGAACCATACGTCGCCATATGTTTTGTCTTTTGTGCAACTGGTAACGAGTGGAGCAAGGCCCTTAGGGCCACTGCTCGTAGGAAAAGTAAACAAAAGAAGAGAGGAATGAATCTTCTGCTGAAACATGTAACCATATGCCGCCATATGTTTTGTCTTTTGTGCAAGTAGCGACGAGTGCAGCAAGGCTCTTAGGGCCACTGCTCATAGGAAAACGAAACAAAAGAAAGAGAGAGCCACGGTAGTAATGTAACCCACAACTGCTAGAAAGCAGACCTCACTTCGCAATCAGAACATATATTGGTGGCCTGCTCATTTCTCACACGGATTCTGCTCAATGTCCCTCGAGATGCTGGGAGTCTGGGGACCCTTGCAGATACGCTGCTGGGGTCCTTCAGGCAATAGACCATTTAACAAGGAATATGTGGGCCTAATTTCTTTTTCTGTGCCCTTTGATTTTTTAGAAGGGAGGGGCACCATTGGCTACCTCAGCCAGCCCTTTCCGATTTTTTTTTTCACCTTATTTATTGGGGTGCGCCACATGACATGCGCGCGCATGCTTGCGCGTGCGCTATGCGCCGCACGTGCGGAGCTAGTGCAGACGCGATGCGCTGCAGGTATGGCACAAAGTCGAAGTCTTGGATTCCCGAATGTCCAAACAGCAAGTCACACGGCGTACGAGTACAGCAGCTGGAAACCGGTACGAGACTGGTCCCCGTACCGTACGGAGAGCCGGTATAAGTACCGGTGACACGTACGGTACCAGGGGCATTTCTGCAAAGGCCCCGAGGGCAGAACTGAAAAATGCGGTATTTGAAAGTGGCGCCTGAATTGCAGCGTGGCGCCAGTGGTCCAAAATCCTACAGTACCAAAGGAGGGGTTGGAAAAAGGGTGCCAGACCGAAAACGGGATGCAGCCGAAACAGCAAAAAGATAGATCAGGGATCGAGCCCTGGCGGAGTCCGTAACACTATCCCCTCCCTCTAGAAGGCAACGTCCCGGCTGCCAAAAATCGTCAAACAATGCTGAAATCTGTGAAGGACGGGACGGGGCCGATCACTGGTTAACAAGTCGAAAGGGAAGAGGGGTATAATGTTCAGAGAACTCTCTGATCACACCCAACCTAAGCCCGTAACACCATAGATTCGTCTGTACAGGGGTAAGTACAGTAGGTGGGTGGGTGGCGAAGGAGAGGAGAAAACAAATATAAGAAGCAAACAAACAACAGAATCAAATAGATTGTATATTCCATGAGCAATAACCAATTCTTGTAGCCCCACTAAACAACACGTGGTCTTCAATGTTGGGTACTGAGGCTTGAGACATCAGGTTTACAACCATCCGGGAATGACTCTGTTCTAGTCTAGCACGCTGGCTTAAAGCGAGAAATCCCTCACAGGGTAAAAATCCTCAGAAAAAGCCGTCTGAAATATGGGGTGTAAGAAGGAAGGTCGATCCCAACAGGTGGTCAAATGAGAGCAAAGCACAGAGATCGAAAAAGAACCTCTTCCCTCCCAAAAACTCCAGAAGTGATTCACAATGACCAACAAGTCAAGAGGCAAATGGGAAAGACAAAAGAATGCAGGCACATTACCAGAGAGGGATAAGAACAGTAAAGCGGAAAGGACACATTACCGAAACTAGACGTCCCAAATAATCCCCCGGTAGAAGCTGCTGCATTAGCTCCCCCAAAGAGAGATCCTGATGTTGTGCCTGCATAAGTTACAAAGCAAGAAAAAAATCGCCCATCAAGATGTAGGATTTGGCAAAAAGCCCAACAACCTGTAACTGCTGTTCAGCAACTTCTCTCTCTCTCTCTCTCTCTCTCTCTCTCTCTCTCTCTCTCTCTCTCTCTCTCTCCCCGACCCTTTCTGCGATGTGACCGAACTGGTCTCCTCTCTCTCCTGACAACGACCAATGAGCACACACACACAAACACAATCCAGGTCATCATTTAATGTCACAGACTTACCGAAGAGACTTCCTCCAGAGAAACCTGCTGTCATTGACCCAAACAAGGAACCAGAAGCAGATGCGGCAGAGGAGGAAGAGGCCACAGGTGTTCCAAACAATGATGATGAAGTTGCTCCACCTGTTCCTGAAACTGATGGCGCACCAAACAATGAAGTTGTGCCTGTGCGGGGGGCAGCTGGGGTACTAGCAGGTTGCGTGGATGATGCCAGTGTGTTCCCAAACAGGGAGGAAGTTGTACCGGCACTGGTAAGCCCTGACCCAATGCTCGACATTGTCCCTTGCAAGACACTCTGAACAGCAACACCTTGTGGAGGAGGTGTGGTCATGGGCCCAATTTGGAGCCCGTGTTGACTCCTTCCTTTTGTCTTCTTCAACTCCTCCCTTCTGTCTGCCTCGATAAACGGATCCCGATCATCTCCTCTCCTCCTCCGTTCTGCAAGGTATGCTTGTTTGGCAGCTTCAACAAGACTGTGCAGGGCTTCTTCACGTGCTGCTACATGAAAGAAGAAGTCATGCAAGTTCGACAAAATCGCTGGCAGTGTCTCGAGGATTGATGGATCTCCACCCCCGATGGCATCCATAGCCGAAGGAGCACTCCCATCCTCCATTGGCCCAGCACCACCTCCAGGATACCGCCCAGCAGGCCGAGGGGGAAGAAGCAGGCGCTCCAGCTCCTGCACTCTCTGCTGGTACTGATTAAGAGTGTGCTCCAGCCTTGCAACAGTTTGGTGCAAGAAAGGTGAAGGTAGCAGTGGGATGCCAGAGTACAGATCGGATGATGTCAGCAAAGTTCCACCAACACCAATATGACCACCACCTCCAACGCTGTTCGCGCCAAGACCACTACTGCCTGTTGTCGATAGACCGGCAATGCCTTGTCCGCTGTGCCCCACATAACGAGGAAATCTCTGTCCTAAGAGGATAAACGATCTGACCGCAACCTCCGTGTTTCGCAAGAGTTCTTTCACACGTTGGAAAAGACCTTGTAGAGATGACTGCTCCACCCCCAACGACGTTGCCAGGCTGGCCAGGTTCTGGCAGAATAGAGCGCACGATAATCAGCACCATCACCAGGCATAACATAGCACAGTATCCACCTATTCCAATCAAATTAAAAAAGGGAATACTTCAGTCAAACCAATGTTGATCTCATGGTCCAAGTTCTGATTCTCATCAACACGACAAGTGTTCCTGCTGAAACACAGAAACAAGAAGAGTGCCAAGCACAGCAAGCTGTCCTTCGGGAAGAATGGAAACACTGTGCTGATAAACAAAAGCAGGATTTCCACCACAGTTACCAACGGGCATAACTCAGTTGTTACACCCATGAACTGTTGAAATACAGACACACGTTCAAAATCCAGATGCAGTTAGATCAAACCACCACTCCCTCCGACATCAAGAAATTGGGGGGGACCGGTAGCACAGGTTCAGTAGGGCTACCGGTAGTACAGTGTGGAGAACCGAAAGAAACACAAAATTGAAAATGTGTTGAAATGCCTCCGGGATTTATTTTGTGGTTTATGCCATTGTGAGGACTGTGTCCTCAGGGGGCCTTAGGCAACATGCATATGATCTGGAATGTAGCCCCTCAGCAAGCCTTGTGCCCACCCTAAGTGAAGGTGGGCCTGAATATTCACGAGCGGCCCTTATCTCAGCATTTTCGAAATATGGGTCCCAGTCAGTTGCTGCACGACAGTTCATTGAAGTGCAATCTGAGGCTTACCCTGGGCTCTTCCAGAAGAAGCAACTGCGCCAGTCAGTTAAGCCCAGGGCCCAGGTGGTTGTGCCCTGGGCACACACATTTTGAGGCCGACACATTACGAAGTGGCCACGGGCCAACGAAAGGGCAGCATTGGCGTCGTATCTACCCCGTGGGCCAGGGCAAATGCAGCAAACAAACGGAGCCTGGGAAATTCTGGGTTTGCCCAACTGAAAAGGGCCCAGGCCCTCAACTGTCGAAGAGGGGCCTGGGCGCAGACACTGGGGCCCGACCAGAAGCTATGGGAAACTTTCACGGCCAGGCCCAGGGAGTCCAGCAGCAGCTGCCACTTCCATATAAGAAGCCTGCCAGCCAGGGAAGGGTATGCTGGCCTAGGCAGGCAATGCGGACACGCTGCTGCGCTCGCAAGCGTCCGCATGCACATTGCTGGCTGGGGTGCGCGCGGGTGCTGAGAGGTGAGGGGCGCTGCAGGGCAGTGGGGCGCTAGCGGCCATAGCCGGGGTGCAGGGTTCAAGGCACAGGAGGGCGACAGGGGATCTTCAGGAGGAGGCGCAGAAGTGGGTGGTCAGCGGGTGATGAGAGGAGACGAGGATACGTACCTGGTGTATGTGAGAGGGTCGGCATTGGTGTTGACAACATGTGCATTGGTCTTCAGAGTCGAAGTGAGCCTGTTAAATGAACTTAGGTACGCTAAGTAGGACAAGTAGTTTAGGCTGGGCACTGGGGCGCCAGACAGAGATGAGCGACGTTGAATACTGCGTCGGTGTGGCCTGAGGGCTTGAACATTGGCTCACGAGTTTCATTGTATTGCTCTTATTTGGATGGAACCTTGGTGCATTTGAGCTCTCCGCTTGGTACATGACTATCTGGACTTCTGCATGATTTTGCAACTTGGTTTTCTGTATATCGCTCTCGCTCATATTCCTTGCACAATTTTCTAATTTTTTTAAAATATTTTCCCTGTGTTACGATCCTGGCCAATTTCGAAGTATACATACATCAGAAAGTACAATGCCGTCCAATTGCAAAAAGAAATGAATGAACTTGAGAGGAGAGAGAGGGAAAGAAGAAGAAGAAGAAGAAGAAGAAGAAGTAAGAAAGAAGAAGAAGATGTACTCCAGCATAGACCAATGACAAGGCTCTTCTTCTTCGCCAACCAATCTCTTCCTCCTTATCTCCTCCCCTCTTATTCAAACAAGACATAACAATAATAATGTTGAACTAGATGACCCGTTGCGACTTCGCCCCCAAAAAAACCGGAAAAAAAAAGCACAAAAGAAAGAAAACGCATAAGGAACTGCCCTATCATATGCCGCTTCTTTCACAGTAAGAAAAAGAAGAGCCTGAGAGCAGACTAAAACCCGTGTGCAAGAAAATAGCAGGGAACACCACCAAAGTTACCAAACATTCTTTTTTCTTTATCTTTGCGTGTTTTGTTGGGGGAGCCATTACCTTTGTAGCATCATTTTTGTTTTGTGCTGTGCAAGAACTCTGGAATTTTCTGAGAAAATCCAGTCCGTTGTCCCGTTGATGTTTTAGCTAAAGATTTGGATCCAGACTTCGTTTGCTGTGTTCTCTGGATATGTTTGCAATCAGACGATCTTGCATGTATGTGTGCCCCGTGCTTACTTGTTGACTTTTGACACTGTGTGTGCAAGTGCATGCGCATGTGGGTGAGTCTCAGTTTGGTGGGCTCCAGTCCGTTGTCCCGTTGATGTTTTAGCTAAAGATTTGGATCCAGACTTCGTTTGCTGTGTTCTCTGGATATGTTTGTGATCAGACGATCTTGCATGTATGTCTGCCCCGTGCTTACTTGTTGACTTTTGACACTGTGTGTGCAAGTGCATGCGCATGTGGGTGAGTCTCAGTTTGGTGGGCTCGGATGATGTCATTGATAATTGGCCCGGGGAAGTTGTTGGGAGTCGCCTCCAACTGTAGGAGTGCCGCTGATGTTAAGCAAGTTTTGCATTGTATGAATCAAACAATCAGCCGGGCGTGCATCTTGGAACATTTCCAGAAAGGCAAAAGGCAAAGAAGAAACGAAGTAGCACGTGTCAGAGTCACATAATGGACAGCTTGGCACAGTCCCCCCCC